AGTGAAAATTCATGGCTGAAACTCTAAGATATGCGTGGTATGCATGTCTTATCTGTAAATCTCAAAGTGCTTAAAGAAGTAGCTGGTGCTGTTCCCAACTGACCCAAAAGGCACAGTAAATGAAAGCCTTTTCTTTGACAGAGAAGTGTAAGCAGCAAAGGTGTGGCACCTGCAAATTACCTAGTAAGGCTGATTTTATTCCTCTCCTAAGGCAGCTGAGCCTTATGTTTTACAAGGAGTTACTGTTATGATCCACTACAATAGGACAACTATTTAGTTAGCCTAGCTATGCCACAGAGAAGTTGTGGGGTCCAAAGCAAGTAGTTTAAGTAAAATTATCCCATATGTAGAACAGGGCTGTACCACTCTAACTGCTTACACACAATTTCATAAAAACCCCATATGCAACATGGCATGTGTGCCCACCAGAGAGCTTGTGCTCCTGACAGCCGCCTGAGAAAGATACAGACCCCCACAACAGTTGCAAATATCCAGAAGCCATCTCAGCTGGTAACTGCGTAGTGGGTGTACAGGACACCCTTGATTTCAGCCGTTTGCTGGGGGGTGGTGGTGGTGGTGACGGTGTCGACTGAACTCATCAAACTTCTACAGACCATCTGTAAGAAATAACTGGGGATTAAACCTTGTTCCAGTGCAGAGCCTACCCTGAAGAAACCACGTCCTGTAGCAAAAAGTAGCTGAAAATTAAATCCACACTCAGGCACACAGAGACTTCTGTGTTTTCCTAATTTACGTTTTCCTAATACAGTCTTGAATTGCTTACATAAATAACAATCCTGGATGCAGCCTCATGTTTGCAACTCAGCTTTTAAAACTTGTTCTTGTGATAGTCTTCTGTTTTGCCCACGTAGTCTCGCTAAGGAAGGAAGAAAGCACCTTTTAAGCCTCAGCGTTTGTCTCGTCAAGGCAGGTCTGCTTTACTGACAGGAGTCAGTGAGTGCTGCGTGCGGGGCAGGCTTTGGAGGTTCAACAGTGAGCTGGTCCCAGATGGCTCTTGCTAAAAGCCTTAACAAAACCCCGTGGCAATTCTCCTCCAAGCTCAGTGGCCAGTGAAGAGAGGAGGTCTCAAACACTCTGCGGAGCTTTCCTGCACTGTACGAGGCAGCTAGAGGAAGGCTTTCCCAGACGCGCGGCGGCAGGACTGAGCACTGACCACTCCCGGGTCACCACAAGCATCACAGATGGACCTCAGCATCCAGCCACCGCAGGAAAGTCCCTCAGAAAGGCCTGGGGTGTGGGAAACTACAAGATGTCAACTGGGTTCATTTTTTGAGGAGGGTGTTCTTATTTTGCAATGAAGTAAAGACAGGTCCTGTTCAAAATGCATTTCCACTATCCTTCTAATTAATGTAAAGGAATTGCAGCTTGGATTACCCTGTGAATACTTTTGGTGTCTGAAGGTATTTTTCTACATGTGCATACTATGGATGAAATATTAGTCACATTGAGAACACTATTGCCTTGGTGCCCAGGTGATGCAGGGTACAGAGAGTGACTACAAGGTACGATTTAGCCCAAGCAGGATTTCGCTGACTGAGTTGCATCACTGTATAGGCTGGGGTTATAACAATAACTGCTGTGCAATATTCCATTTGCAAGGCAAAGTGCAGCCCTCTCCAAAGGGAAACGGCAGATTGGCATTATCAGAAAAAAAGGACTTATGATTGTAAATGGATTAATAAAGATAATAATAATAGTCATAAGATTTATTATAGCTCATGCAGAAAATGTTTCTCAGTTGCTCAGCTTGACTTGTTAGATGCAAGATAGCGCACAGGAGAACAGATCATAAAATAATCTTAGCAAAGCTTTTAAAAACCAAACTCTGGGGACTTCTTGTTTATAAGCAGTATGAATGTCAGAGAATGAAAATATGCTTGCTGCAAAAGTCATGAACATGCACCACAGCTGGTGAGCCCATATCAATACAGTCATTTATACAGCTCAGCTGACCAGGTCAGCAGACTAAAGGTGGGTGAAAATATGCTGCCAATCATTTGTTAGCTTCTTCTTCCACTAAGAAAACCATTTGTGTCTTGGCTGAAAAGGGCGTATTTTTCTTTTTAGCTCTAATGCCGTAGAATTGTTTGTTTTATCAGTATCCTACTGCTTACTTCCTCACTTCAAGTAGCAATGAAGATTCATCAGGAATATTTTCAGATGCAGAAAGTGCGCTACAGTCTAACAGTTTTAACATTGATAATATATCTTCATTTTCAACAGATGATGCTGGTGTTAACCAGGAGGGACAATCCACAGATACTGGAAAAGGAGAACAAGCATTGGCTTTCATGTAAACACCCAGCTTGTCCACTGCAAAAGGTAAAGCACGTTGAGGGTAAGTCATCACTTCAAATCAGACTCCTTAACAAAACTTTCCAATCATTTCCCCTGTTTGCCATAGGAGTATCAGAATTACATGACATACTTCACTTTGTCACCTTCGAATACATCTCCCTCTCTGTCTGCTCTTCCAGATACCACAAATTACCCTTGTACTGAATGCGAAGATTGCTTGTAGTTCTAAGTTACTAAAGGATGACAAAGATGGGCAAGATGCAGAAACACCCACGGTGACTGAACACTGCTCATCTTTCTTTCACAGCATGATAATGTGTTCTGTGGTATCATCTCGCAAATGCTAACATTTGTGACAATATGGCATTCGTCCACAAGTGAGTTATAACAAAAACTGATGACAAATCCTTCAGTCATAAATAAAAACCTGAAACATGGCTGAGCATTCAAAAAGCAGGGAAGAGGATTTTATTCCTCAATAAACATTGGCTCTCAAATACCTAACAGTGCCTGACTTCATACTGGATTTCAGCTACAAAATTGCTTTAACTTGATTTGGCTATTTTCTCTGAGAAAAGAAAAAAAGGCTGAGCTTTTAGAAAACTGTAACTTTGTGAAGGATTGAAACTTGGCAAGAGACTGGATATAGACAGCTGAGTGACAGCTTAGCTACAGTTTATGGCCACGTGCATGAGTGTTTCTGAAGCCATTTTTAAAAAACATTTAATATCCAAATCCGTGTTCTCTTAATCTTTTGGAGTTTATTGTGCCCATTTCTACCTCAGCTGTGGCAACAGAAAGAATATGTGTAAAGACTTGGACAGCTTGCGGGTACCAGCATATTGCACTAAGGGTGAGCTTCAAACGGTATTTGTTTTAATGTAAATATTTTTTAAACTCATGCATAAAAAATTATATACTGCAGTGTTATAGAACTGGTAAATAGCACTTCAAAGATTATATTTAGGTTAACGATAACTGAATTTGTGGATAGCACAAATGTGGACTACAAGGGAAGATACATAATACGCTAAGGAAACGGTTGTTCTCTAAGGTGTACTTTACAAAAAATACTTGAGATTGTCCCTTATTTCCAACCCAGAACAGCAGCTGAGGTGTCTGCATAGTTGGCTTTTGCTTTCAGCGACATTCAAATTCAATAACCAAACCTGTAAAAATGTCTCCTGCTCTCACAGAGCCTTGTTGATCTCCTCTGAGGGACCTCTCACAACCACAGGGATATTGGGCAGTGTCTGTACTACGGGGTTGCTGCTGGCAGGTTGCTGCAGGCTGGAGAATTCCAGGCAAAGCAGCCACACCACTGCTAATCTACCACCAGGCTAATAAACTGTCTCTGATTAGAGATAAGGCACGGTGTCGCATTAACCCTTTCAAATTGCTTTCATGGCAGAGCTACCACCTCTTCACGGTGCTGCAGCTCATTGCTCTGGATGTTCCAGTTTGGGTCTCTGCAAGCGCAATGCCTCTTCAGGCACTCCCCTGTACAGTGTATCAATTCAATGTAAATTATTAATTTCTTTTATTTGGGCCATTATTGATTTATTAATATTAATTCAGAAAAATGCTATGGAGTTTGCAGTTCAGTACGTGTGTCACATTTCACCATGAATGCTGCAACAGGGTAGCAAATCTCTGTGAGTAAATGAGGTCAGCACTCGGACGCAGCCTCCTGACAAAATCCACCATGAGAGCAAAGGATACTTTGCACCCTCTGTGCTTAACCATGTTTCGCGGAAAACAGCTTTGATCTGCAAGGGGTGCAGCTGCTTCCAGATGTAAAGGCATCTGGGCCCTACCAAAATACTAGGTTGTAGCACGTGTTTGTTAGTTCAAAGGGGGAGCGCTACAAACATGGCTGTATCGCTTCTGAGCTGGCAGACAGAAAACTCTGCCCCGTGGTCGGCGGGGTGGCCTCCCGGGGCATGGCGAGGTGATGGCTCATCTCTGCATTGCTCTCACAGCACGTTGCAGACAGGCTCTGACAGGCCCCGGGCAGTGCACGTACAGCCCCAGCCACGCGCAGGGAGTGTTTGTAAGGCACGGTCAAATCAAAGCTCAGTTTTTGTTCTCCCACTAAGGCTATATCCAGACCGTACTATATTTTTAATGATAAACTTTGCTGGTTGTTTTTCTTCCCTGCAGCTATGTCCCAAAAGGGGGAGGGAGGGCAGTCACATGTTCTTTATTGTCCTAGCTTTAATAGCAGCTAGGGGAATTTTTTTTAATTGTAAAAAATAAGGTATCATTTTATTTTTAAGTGGAATCCAAGAAAGGCAGCTTTCAGCCTCCAGGTGGCAAGTTTCAGAATCAACCACCCTCTAATGCAAATAGTTCCCTGGCTTGTGGGAACTGCCATAATGCAAATCCCTTAGGAGATAGAAAGACGTAAACACAGCTGTGAGATGCTCCTGCTGGTGGGGAGTGGCAGGAAGGAAAGTGTTAAATGCCGAGGGTAAACAGCACCAGATTTGTTACCTAGTCAGCAGGGCAGAGAGGATTCCACAGATAAACCCAGCCTTACTGCTTCTCCCCAGCTCAACTGGTTATTTCTCAGCGGCAGCTCTTACTCATCTGAATCTAGGTGGAGCTCCCTTCCTCCCTCCCTGCTGTGCCCTCTCCTGATTAAAAAGCTTTTCTCAAGCATCTGCACACGCGCTTGTAGGTACCGGTGCTGGCTTTGCAGAAGCACCCATTGCTTCACGTCGCTGAGTCGGTGGCAGTGACGGCCATCGTTGTCCCACCAGCCTCCCCCTGCCCTGGAAGATGGTGAAGTACGGCCTCGACTACACGCGGTGCAGGTGGATCCTACCCCTGCTCCTGGGCATAGGCGTCATCTTTGGTATCATTGCGCTGGCGGGCAGGGGCTGGCTGGAGTCGCAGACCTTGCCCTACGTGCACCAAGCGTCGTTATGGGAGAGCTGCAGGAGGCCTGATCAGGGTGGGCAATGGACCTGCGAGTCCCTCATGGGTTACGGTAAGTGCCTGCGAGGGTGGCGGGGAGCAGTCTCCGAAGCAGGGGGTCACATCTCCGAGCTTATCTTCCCTCAGCTCTCCTAACCAGATCGCCCAGCATCTGGCATTTATACATGAAGTTATGGGCAGTAGGGACTGTCACTTAGACACATCAAGGCTTTTGACTAACAGGATGAAGAAGAAAAATGCCCTCAGCCCTGTGCAGAAAGAAACCTGGTTGCTTTAGATGGTGGGTTGCATAGTACAAAATGCCACATATGGTAATGTACCACGGCAGAAAATATTACAGCATTTACGGTTTTGTTCCTCTCTTAGCAGAAGCTAGTAACCTCTTATCACTAACCACTGCTTTCCAAAACTTAACAGCTACTGCTGATTGAATGTCCAAACAGCAAGTTGCATGGGTAAGCCTGGCATTGGTGTGGTAAGCCAGTCCTGAGTGCCAGCAAGAAAAGGGAAGGTAGAAATGTAAGATGGTAGGAAGATATTCCCAGGGAGTGTAAGGTTGCAGAATCCTGCCCTGAAACTGCTCTGGTAGGTGGGTCCTGTGAAAGACTCTCCTTGTGATTATGAAAGAAAGCTTTAAAAGATGAAAGGATTTCTTGTTTGTACTGAGTTTTGGTTAAGTATGCTATTAAACATGTTGACCCAGGTGCAACCTTCAGCTTGAAAAGATGTAAACCACTGAGTCTGGAAGAATAGGCCAAGAGAAGGATCGCTCTAGGTGTGCTCCGTTTTTTTTTTTTTTTTTTTTTTTCTGTATATATCCACTATTGGCCATGGTCCAAAACAATTTATTGTGGGTGATGGGCTGCTAGCCTAGAGCCAGGAGGAAAGTTCAAGCTAATTCAAATTAAAAGGAAGAACATTTTCTCTAAGGCTCAGAATCTCAGCTGCCCTTGTTGAAAATGAGTGTAAAAACACTTGCAGAAGCAATCTTATGGGTCATTTATTACAGCTTTTCAAAATTGTTCCTGAAAGTTTATCATATACGGTCAAACTCTACCTTCTGTGCTCAAAATTAAGCTGTAACAAGGTAATTGTAGCAGGCCTCTGTGAGCATAGGGCTCCAGGACAAGACCGTCTCCATTAAGCATCACACCCAGTCCTGCTCTCAGAGCTCCTGCATCAGCTGTGTGGCTGGGCATAGATCGAGCCAGTAAATTGGCCTCTGATACATGGCAATGGAGAGCGGGAAAGCGATGATGGTGCTTAGCAAAGGGCTTCTCAGTCCTGAGTTTCCATGAACAGTGAGCCCTCCTCCAGATCTCCAGGTTAGGCCCTATTTGTGTCATGAATGCCAACTTTAACTGGAGAGAAAATACTGAGAAGTTTCACCTTGCTTCTCTTGATAATACAAGAGAAGTTTCACCATGCTTCCAGGTCCAACACAATTGTTCGGCATTTTACTTCCTTCCTTATCCTGCCTCACTCTAACTTGCTTAAATTCTGCAGTTGTATGCATGGTTTCCCAGTGGACAGCATCTACAGATAAACCAGGGAGGTCATCCTCTACGCGGACTATCCTGCAATGTGTGGGGTTACCATGAATCACACCGACAATAAGTCCAGCACTTCTAACACAGAAATGTTGGATTTAATATACACATGCAGAATATTCTCCAGTGTGTACATTGGAGAGTCAGCTGATGCTTCTGAAAGCGTTAGAAACACTGTTCATGTGCTGCATGACTGCATTATGATCTCAATGGGCATGCATCTTTCATGGGACCTCTTCAAGCTTACTAAATACCCAGAAAACCCAAGCAAATCCTCAAAATCCTCCTGGACAAAACTTCCACGTGGAAAAGGAAGATATGTCTGGGACAACAGAGTCATTTAGCCAGTGGGAGAAGCTGTAAAGACTATATGTAAAAAATGTGTGCATAGGCCAAGTGACAGTGGACTGCACTGCCATGCTTCTGCCTCTGCAAGCTTATGCCATTACAATGTAGATCTCAGCCACTGCAGGGGTGGGTTACCCCTGACCCATAAGAGGGCTGTAGACATGACCATTAAGGATGCAAACTCATGTCATTGTCTGGATCCTTTCCAGCCGCTTCCTTCAGGCACCTTCTCTCCAGAGGTGGGATGTGTTCAGGTCCAATCCTGTCCTCCATTTTTCCTGTCATTCTGTCCTTGCTCAGTTTGTGTGGGGGTTGGGATTTTTCTTCTGGGGCTCCTGCCTTTCTTCATGCAGGGTGCAGGTGCCTGATGCTGGTCTTGGATTCCACCCAAAAGACCAGGCCATGAGACAGCATCTCACTTGTGAGCGTCCAGGTCTTGTGTTGAGCCTGATTCTACCTGCATGAGTGTGAAACACAGGGTTTTAATACTTCTGGGTTTACATTTACCCACACTGTTCCAGAAAGGTCATAGAAAACAAGCATTCAGCATCATGTTCTGTGGGATGTTTAACTTTGTCGTGTGCCAAGCTAAACACAGTGCTGGGTAAACAAAGTGTAATTACAGCCTTCCCGAGCACAGAGACAAAAGACATGATGTAAACAGAAAGGACTGAAGTGGTTTACATCTTTCCTGAGATTAACTCTTTCTTTCCCCCCTCTCTTCCACACTTCCCATCTTGTTTCCTCTGGGCTTTACTCTCAGCTTCCCTGCCTAATCTGCCAAAGGCTGGGTAGGTTCTGAAATTTGGTCTTCCTGCGGGGATGGTTTCACTGACATACATGATATGCATGTGTACCCCAGCAGCTGCCAGCAAATATTCTCAAAGTGACTTGGACAGTGTAGCTATCTGAATCCACTACAGATATCTTCATCCTATCACGATTAGATATAATTGTAATGGTCTTGCAAGTTGTTCAATACAATATGCAAATTCAAATCAAATTCTCCACATGCAATGTTTGTAATTCCCCATGAATGTCTGTCGTTTGGCTTAACATGTACATGCACAGACAGAAGACAGAAACCCAACATTACTGAGGTCAGTCAGATTGGAAGGGAAGAAGGTTGAATGTTTCATTGGTTGCACCAGCGGAGTTTGGAGTCTCTGGTTGCTTAAACTGGCAGAAATAAAACCTCACAGGGAAGACAAGAGGCCTGTACAATTTTTTTTTTTTTTTTTCAGAAAGTCAGTAGAATAACTCCACTGGTGCAGTTATCTTCTGTGAAAGCATCTGCACATCCTTTGTCTTTTGCAAAGTTTATGAACTCTGTGGAAAGTGAGAATATGAAGAGTTTATACACTCTGTTATCTTCTCCAAGAGTTCAGAACTTCTGCTTTAACCATATGACACTCATCTAGAATCTATCAGAAGTCTTCTGCTTTTCAAGCATATTTAGCTCAATTAAATAGAACTTTCTAGGAAAAAAATATCTAGTGCATTAGGACACTTACTCAAAATGCATGGAGTTTAGGATGAGGGACTGAGAGATGCAAACTGTAGCTCTGCCATGTTCTGGCACTTGGAACAAATAAAGGTCTCAAGCTCATAACATGCTTGAACCTTTACAAAGACAGAGACAAGACTGTATGGATAGATAATGGGTACAATATGGACTGCATCTGCCTGGGACCTGGCTGAGCTTGCAAAGAAAACGCAGAGGTTAAATCCCTTCATAAAGCTGGCACAGCACTCCTTTGTTTTCCTTGATTTTTGGCTATATAACTTCTCTTGAACAAGGTGTATCTTGCAGACCTAAGACACTTTTTCAGTGTGTAATTTATTCCACTGCAGGCTTTGAAGATGTTTAAACATGTGTGGGTTTGGTTGGGGGAAAATAACTGATTTTATTTTATTAGTCCCAATGTGATGCACAATAGGATGAAAAACTCGTGGCTATACTTGTCCCATCTTATGTTCCACCTGGCCCTGCAGCTCTTCCACATGCAGATGCTGCCATCAAAGTAACTGCAAGCTTAAAGCTCTGAATTTAGGTTGAAGTGGTCAGCTCACTTGCATGGGCAAGCAGAGATCTTGGGGAAAAAGATCAGAAAAAGGCATTTTCACATGACAAGTGGAATCCAGATCTTCAGTTATTTTCTCATCATAGCATTCAGTTACAGCCTTTTCCTTGGATGTGTGGAGAGTTTAGTGGCTGTGGAGATTAGTGGAGGGATGAATGATTTTGCCATCTGGAAAGGACACCTTCCTGCACCTTGTCTTCCAAGCAAATAATGGGTAACTATGTTCTAGCTCATTCTAGTTTTATTAGGTCCATGAATATTAATGCAATACTGCAAGATAGGATGGTTAGTATAGTATGATTATATTAAAAAGTACTTCAAATATGGCAGCAGATGAGTATGTCTACAGGATAAGTGAAAGAAGGGAATGCTACAAAAGGTAATGTCCTCAAGAGGAAAGAAATATTCTGCTTTTGTCTCATAAGAACCCCACTGGTGAGTAGATTTTCTTCCCTGTTTTGCCTATATCAGGCTCTTAAGTCCGGGGAATCTTTTGCTATGATGAAGCACCGTTTATTATTCTGGAGGGATAACAAAATGGAAATCACTTGCTAAAAATCCCCAGCTAATGATACAACAGTGAGGTGCACGGTCTGGTCGGGATCAATCTCCAAGCAGCAAAGGACCTCTCTTGGTACTATAACTACCACTGGCCTTGCACTGCTGGCCCCGCAGCTCTTGCTCTGGCAAACTAATTTCTCCGGCAGACCAGTGACTCATCATACCCGGGGCACAGGACAGACCAGACAACTCGCTGCCATGCTGCCTACGTAAAACTGTTTTGCCTTCCCCCGTGTTCCCATCACAGCTGACAACCAGCACCTAATCCCAGGTGTGGGGAAGCCCTCACTTGCCTCAAGCTGAAGCAACCGCCCTGAGCAGAGTGACATGGGGATATTTCCAGAGGGATGGGCTGGGTGACAGCCCCTCTCGGCAGGGCCTGGGAGGAGAAGCAGGCTGTCCCGGTGGCCCTTTGCCATCTGAGGGTGTCTGCATGTAGGAATAGAAATGAAGCAGACAAGTAACTGTGCTTTTGAAGCAGGCACCAGCTCAAGTCATAGGGCCTTTAT